ACCAACTCCTAAAGATTACCACTATTAAGTCTTTGGTGTTACAGCCTTCTAATATTTGTTTCTAGGTACATAAAAACATGTATTTTACAAAATTAGAATCTTTTTGAACATATTGCTTTGTAACCTGCTTTTTTAGTCAATATGTTGTCATGGTAACTGTTGTTCATCACTAAACAAGAGTACTTTGTCTTCAAGGGGCTTGTAGGAAGGAGACAAGAAAGTGCAGTGCAGTGTGATAAATGCCCGAAGATGAATAAACTTAGGGGGGTGGGAAGGAGTCTCTGGGACACCTGCAGTGTGCCTTCTCTCCCTGAGGAGGTGAGGATGCAGGCAGAGTATAACATACTGTCTCTCCTTCAAGAATGGCTGCTAACCAAAAGGTTGGCAGTTCGAATCCACCAACTGCTTTTTGGAAACCTTACGGGGCAGTTCTGCTCTGTCCTATAGGGCGCTATGAGTCAGAGTTGACTCAGCGGCAACAGGTTTGGTTTTTGGTTTTCAGGAATTGTATTATTGTACAGTTAGCAAGATAACTAACTGGTTAGTACACACGACATAACATCAGGTAATAGAATCTAGTACGTGATCACGTGCTAAGCTTTGAACAATAGATTCTGATACTCCAGGAGTTTGAAGAAGAATGAAATCAATGAGTGCTAGAATAGTTGAGGAGAGATGGACGAATTCCTAGTGCTGCCATAACAAATTACCACCAATCAACTGGGTGGCCTAAAACAATGGAAATGTCTTCTCTCATCTTTCAGGAGGACAGAAGTCCGAAATCAAGGTGTTGGCAAGGTTAGTTCTTCCTGGAGGCTCTGAGGCAGAATCCGTCCCCTGCCTCTCCTAGTTTCCTATGGTTGCTGGCAGTTCTTGGCATTCCTTGGCTTGTAGACGCGTCACTCCAATCTCTGCCTGTCTTTACATTGCCGACTTCTCTATGTCTCTGTGTGTTCTTTTCTGTCTCTTATAAGGACACTTTCTTCTGACTTAGGGCCCACCCTAATCCAGTAGGATCTTGTCGCAGTCCTTATTTACATCTGCAAAGGCCCCATTTCCAAATAAAGTCATTATTCTAAGGTTCTGGGTCGACGTGAATTTTGAGGTGCACACTGTTCAATACACTACATGATACTTGAACTGGGCCTTGAAATATAGGAAAGATGTAGAGGCGTTAAGGGAAGAGGGAGGGCATTCCAGGTAAGGATTGGCTATAATGAATGCCTAAAATAGTATCTAGCACACAGTAGGTGCTCAGTTAAATATTTGTTGAAGGAACATAACTAGTTTGAAAGGAATGCACCTCTCTTTGATGTTAAAAGAAAATCTGACTCCCATGCAGTATTGCTGGGAATGTAAATTGATAAAAGCTTTTTGGTAGACATTTCACTTGTTAGTATCTGTCAACATTTTAAATGACCCAGAAATCCCACTTAGAAGAATCTACTTTAAAGCAGTATTTTCCCATGTCCTTAAGGATATAGGGTTAAAATAGTTCATGATTTACCTATATATGGACTTTTTTTTTTTTTTTAATAAGCACATAAATCATTTACTGATGTGCTCAGAACTGGTCTAATTGCTTTGCAAGTATTAACTCATTAATCTTATAACAATGCTTTGTGGTAGATATTATTATGTAAGTCCCATGTTTCTGATAAGGAAAGAGGCACAGAGTTCAGCTTGACCAAGTTTTCACAGGGAATAAATGGCAGAGCCAGCAATGGACCTCAGTCTTACTTGGTGGTCTTACCATCATGCTATCCAGCAGTCACCATGAACCTGATAAACTCCCATCTATGAATATGGAAAGACCTTCAAAACACAATGAAAAGAGAAAAAAAGCAAGTCATAAGTCAATACATACAGCTGACTCCATGTATTAAAAAAAAAAAGCAGTAAGGTGTATATGTATATGCATATACATGTAAGTACACAGGAATGTATTCCAAACAGTTGACAGTTTGGGGAGATGAATAGGAAAGGGAATTGAAGAGGCATTTTCATGTACTTTTATATTATTAAATTTTATACAAAGAGAGTTATGTGTTACTGTACTGTTTTTTAATTAAAAAAAAAATTTAAGTTATTTTTAAGATATGTCCCCTAAGAGCTCCTTAAATCCAGAAATTCATTGTTGGGAACAAGTCAAGAAAATTGGGACTCCCAAGGCTTGTCTTAACTGAGATGCCCCAGATCAAAAACCAACTAATAATAACAAGACTTTCTTCGACTTAAAAAATTCCTGGAACTCTGGTGGCATAGTGGTTAAGAGCTACGGCTGCTAACCAAAAGGTCGGCAGTTTGAATCCACCATGTGCTCCTTGGAAACCCTATGGGGCAGTTCTACTCTGTCCTATAGGGTCGCTATGAGTCAGAATCAACTCAACAGTAACGGGTTTGGTAGGGTATGTGTAGCTGAGCCTTTTGTCTCTTTATAGATTCTTATTCTCCTGTGTCTCCCTAGTAAAGGTGGCAATGAATCTACCATTTCTTTTAATTAGGTTGAGCTACTACATGTTTATCCTTGTTCTGCAGTATTTTATGGTAATGAATGAGCTTGTTTTCTTTTTAACATGCTCTAGTTGCAGTTTTGTGAAGGGTACATATATCATTTTTGATTGTGCGGGTTGGTACGATATGGACATTCAGGGAAAAAAGAGAAGTCATCTGACTTTCAGCCCTGACTGCCCAAACTGACCATGTGACTGTAGCCAGCAGGCTTCAGGAAAGACCTGGCCCCCAGGGGAAAGTTAAATAATAGGTGGTAGAAGGTTGGGAAGATAAAACATTCCCTCTACTAACCCGAGAATACCAAGATAAGTTTGTTACTTGCTGAAGTATTGAAAGGACCTCACATTGTTGTTGCTTGTTTATGGCACATGGTGAACAGAATGTTGAAAAGTTGCTGTTCAGGTCAGAGACCCATGCCCAAACATTAAATCATTATTATTCTTACTATTCTGGAGGGACTGGTTCTTTATTTCAAAAAGACACTTGTCAATTTTCAGTATCAAAACAGTTGCACTGTTGGTTTCTTTTTCTCCCATCTGGCCCCCAAAAGAGACTACACCAAAGGATGGTGCATTTTAAGCCAGTGAACTGCAGGATGCACACCTGACATCATGTTGTTGTTAGGTGTCATCGAGTCAGTTCTGACTCATAGCGACTGTGTATACAACAGAAGAAAACACTGCCCGATCCGGCACCGTCCTCACAGTCATTGCTATATTTGAGTCCATTGTGGCAGCCGCTGCGTCAGTCCATCTCGTTGAGGGTCTTCATCTTTTTCAGTGACCTTCTTCCTTACCAAGTATGATGTCCTTCTCCAGGGACTGATCCCTCCTGATCACATGTCCAAATTATGAGACGAAGTCTCACCATCCTTGCTTCCAAGGAGCACTCTAGCTGTACTTCTTCCAAGACAGACTTGTTCATTCTTCTTGCAGTCCATGGTATATTCACTTTCTTCTCCAACACCATAATTCAAAGGCATCAATTCTTTGGTCTTCTTTACTCATTGTCCAGCTTTCACGTGCATATGAGGTGATTGAAAACACCATGGCTTGGGTCAGGCACACCTTACTTAGCCCTCAAAGTGACATCTTTGCTTTTTAACACTTTAAGGATGTCTTTTGAAGCATATTTGCCCAATGCAATATGTTGTTTGATTTCTTGACAGTTGCTTCCATGGGCATTGATTGTGGATCCAAGGAAAATCAAATTCTTGTCAACTTCAGTATTTTCTCCATTTATCATTGTTACTTATTGGTCCAGTTGTGAGGATTTTTGTTTTCTGTATGTTGAGGTATAATCCATACTGAAGGTTATAGTCTTTGATCTTCATCAGTAAATGCTGCAAGTCCTTTTCACTTTCAGCAAGCAAGGTTGTGTCATCTGTATATCCCAGGTTTTTAATGTGTCTTCCTCCAATCCTAATGCTGCGTTCTTCTTCATGTAGTCTGGCTTCTTGGATTATTTGATCAGCATACAGATTGAGTAAAATTGTGAAAGGATACAACCCTGACACACACTTTCCTGACTTTAAACCATGCAGTATCCCTTTGTTCTGTTGAAACAACTGCCTCTTGGTCTATGTACAGCTTCCACATGAGTACAGTTAAGTGTTCTGAAATTCCCATTCTTCGAAATGTTATTTATAGTCTGTTGTGATCCACACAGTTGAATGCCTTTGCATAGTCAATAAAACACAGGTAAACATGTTTCTGGTATCCTCTGCTTTCAGCCAAGATCCTTCTGACATCAGCAGTTTTACCCCTCATTCCATGTCCTCTTCTGAATTCAGCCTGAGTTTCTGGCAGCTCCCTGTCGATGTACTGCTGCACACCTGATGTACCTCACAGAATCCTCACCAAAAGGGGGGACAGCGTGGGGAAAGGAGTTTTAAAAGATCAGCACAATGCCTGCCATTAAATTATTTTTGAGAGGCTACTGTGATTGTGTGTCATTTAAAGTCTGTTCTGTAAAATACACAGAAGCCTTCTAGTACCCTGGTCCACAATTTATACTAGATTGGTGTGCTCAGAAAAGCACAATGTTGTGAGTCATAAACAGTCTGTTTGAAATTTCTTTTGGAAAATTACCAGCAAAAGTGATATACGTAGTTGATCCTTAGCCCACTATGAAGATTTTTGCTTTTTAGTTGCTCATTACCTTCATAACTCATTCCTGATTCTGATCTAAGGTGGACTTATTCTTCATCATCATCATCATCATCATTGCATGCTCACTACCAGATTGTGAGCTCCTGAAGTCAGGGAGTGTGTTTGGGTCGTCTTTGTATTTCCTTCCAGGCTTACAACAATATATTCTGTATTGTTAGATGTTCTGGAAAGATTTATGAAATGGAACTGATGTTAATTAAATATCATGGGTTTCTATTCTCTGTTACCTCTTTCCAGGACAGGTCGTGTAAAGATAGAAGCAGATAAGCTTGCTGTGTATATTGGACTTAACAGGTTCAATTTTTTGTTAAATAGGAATTATCCAAGATCACGATGCCAGTTATATTCAATGAGCCTTTGAGCTTCCTACAGCGACTAACTGAATATATGGAGCACACATACCTCATCCACAAGGCCAGTTCCTTCTCGGATCCTGTGGAAAGGATGCAGGTATGTGTCAAGTGGGCACCAGAAATGGTCTAAGTCTCAGCGTCTCCTCTACCACACTCCCCGCCCCCACGCACAAAATGAGCATCATGTCCAATGTTAGGCTGGATAATGTTCTCAAACTTAATCAGCATGTTTGGAGCGTCCCTTGCTTCCATTCCTCTGTCATCCTGTAGTCACAGTGCCACTAGAGTGGAAGGGCTGATAAGAATTGCAAGAGAAGCAGAAGGTGGGCCATAAACCAAACCTGGATATTGGTGAGCTGTTTCTAAGTCTTAATTTTAGAAAGTATCATTGGTATGTTAATGGGAAATATTCAATGTTTCTTTCAGAATTTCTCAGGGTGTTTCCAAGAGGGAATGAATACACAAACATACACACACACATATATAAATATAAATGTTGATTCTTAATGTGTGTATATAAATATATACATAGTGCTGTACATTACAACAAAAGACAAATCTTGAACTTTTAAATAGAAGATCTTTGTGTGATGTACATGGATGGGCTTGATACAGGCAGAGGATAGTGGACACATTGTTCTCCTGCAAACAAAGCTCTTGCATTCTAAACAGAGTCTTTCTGGTTTTTTCTTTATGTAAGTCACCCTTTCCCAGCTACACTGGACTTGACATCACTTTAACTGTTGTGTATCTCTTATCCCCTATCCTAAAAGTGTTGTACTTTTTTAAAAAAATGTCAATGAATTAATATTAATATCAGGCTTAAGAGTTTTAAAAAAGTCCTTGAGAGAATTTTTAGAATCCGTAGGGTTTTATAAAACTTCAGTGGGGAATAACGTTATCGGAAGAGAATCAAATTAATTTTCATTCAGAAATCCAAGTTTCCATATTTAGTTGTTAGGGCCATATTAAAAACCCAAAGTAATTAAACCCCTCGAAATAATTTTGTAAATCACTATCTTCACAAAATTTCAGTTCCTGAAAGACTGAGGAACAAGGAGGCTATGTTTAACTTATTCTAATACTCCGTCCAACAGTGTGTAGCTGCATTTGCTGTATCAGCTGTTGCTTCTCAGTGGGAACGTACTGGAAAGCCTTTCAATCCACTCCTGGGAGAGACTTACGAATTAGTTCGGTGAGATCTTTCACTGCATTCCATTTATTCACGTGATTTACATTGCTTTTCAAGTAAAGAGGAAAATGTTATATTTTGAGTATCACCAAAAACAATTTTGGATGGCTGGAGAAAGTTAACAGTTTTGATGTTTCTTTTTATGCTACTTATTTTTTTTTTTTTTGTACTTTAGATGAAGTTTTACAGAGCAAATTTGTTTATCATTAAACAATTAATACACATATTGTCTTGTGACATTGGTTGCCAACCCCACAACATGTTAACACTCTCCCCTTCTAGACGTTGGGTTCCCCATTACCAGCTTTCCTGTCCACTCCTGCCTTCTCGTCCTTGCCCCTGGGCTGGTGTCCCCATTTGGTCTCGTTTTGTGTTATGGGCCTGTCTGATCTTTGGCTGAAGGGTGAACCTCAGGAGTGACTTTAGTACAGAGTTAAAAGGGTCTCCAGGGGCCATACTCTCGGGGTTTCTCCAGTCTCTGTCAGACCAGTAAATCTGGTATTTGTGTGTGTGTGTGTGAGTTAGAATTTTGTTCTACGTTTTTCTCCCACTCTGTCCTGGACCCTCTACTGTGATCCGTGTCAGAACAGTTGGTGGTGGTAGCCAGGCACCATCTAGTTGAGTATCACCAAAAACAGTTTTGAATGGCTGGAGCAAGTTTACAAGTTTGATGTTTGTTTCTGTGCTACTTACTTTTTATTTTAGGGACTATGTAAGAAATACTGAAACATACATAAAAAGTACCATTATGGAAAGTAATTAATCACAAGAATTTTAATATTGCTGATTATGTGGGATTCATCATCCTCCTTTTCTCCTTACGTAGATCATAAGACATGATTGGATTTTTTTAATAACCATATAAAGTATATCAGCGTAAATTGACAGTGTTGCCATAAAGGCAGTGAGTGCATGGACGGTGCAGTTCCGTTTGCGCCCTCTAGCCTGTTCCCTGTTGATAACACAATTAAGGGAATTCATTTGGCTTTAACTTTTCTATATCCTCTTCTCTGTGAAAGTTTTGATGGCATTTATTCTCTGCAAATTTGAAAGCACACATGCTAGATTTCTCTTATCTTAATACAAATGGAACACTAAGTTTTAAATTTACATTAAATTTACATGGCTAATACGACCACACAAATCACCCAGATTCATTTGAGTGTTCTTTATTTTGATGTGTTTCAGTAGACAGAATTATAATAACAGTGAGTTCAGTAGTTTGAGTTGCATTTGTACAGTTTCTCATATATTAAGTTGTTCTTTGATCAGGCTGACAAAGAATTGTTTGCTTTGTTGAACTTGGCTCTTTAATACTTTTACATTGTGTTTTGACAGAGATAACAATAACATGCATGATTATAGGGTTAATTACAATGCTACTTTTTTTTTAACCTCAAGAGATGACCTTGGGTTCAGACTCATCTCCGAACAGGTCAGCCATCACCCACCAATTAGTGCATTTCATGCTGAAGGATTAAACAACGATTTCATCTTTCACGGCTCAATCTATCCCAAACTCAAGTTCTGGGGGAAGAGCGTAGAAGCGGAACCCAAAGGAACCATCACATTGGAGCTCCTTGAGTAAGTTGGAATCAAGCTGTTAAACTCTTTCCATGTTTACCTACTCTGAAGCACATATACCTGCATGCAGACCTGACCTTGTTGTTCAAAAGATGGGGGGAAGATGAAAGATTTTATGAAGTGTAAATTATCTTAACTCCATGTGAAAGAATTTGAGAAATATGACAGTATTCATTGTTAATCAGTGAGAGCGTGAGTGTGAGTGAGAAGTTTAACGTGTTGTTTGGCTGTGGTGTTTGGATCTGTCTTAAGAGACAGTAGAGCTAATCACTCCATGATGGTTCCTATGAAACAGGCTTTGTGTACATATCAATGTCAATGTTTACGTCTGTTTAACCGTCTTTCAAAATGAATTGATTTTAAGAAACATTGAAATAACAATTGTGCACCACATCTTAGACATTAGGGAAGCTGGAAGTTCTCTTCTTTGGGAATAGAAAAT